ACATGTTTCTCTAATGTTAAATCTTTCAAATCACAACTAATAAACGTGTTATCCAGGAGGTTAACACTAACACTTTTGAACATGTTTCTCTAATGTTAAATCTTTCAAATCACAACTAATAAACGTGTTATCCAGAAGTTTAACACTAACACTTTTGTACATGTTTCTCTAATGTTAAATCTTTCATAAACTATCTCATGGCCCAACTATAACTGTATGAATACATTATTCTCCTTATATGGTATGTACTTCATGAACGAGACAAGAACAGCAACACTTACTGTCTGTAATACTTCCCGAGGAGAGAATTGCAGGATCTTGATTTACCCAGGACGGTCCATGGGGGTTCCATACAGGGTGAACTTGATTAATTAAAAATTTTATTTAAAAAATAACTACTCTATCTCACAAAATTATACTGATTTAACTATGTAATATACATAATAGAAAGATACCACAACCATTTTTTAAGCTCTAGGATCACACCAATAAAATCATCAATAATAATTATAATAATACATATTCTATACATCTGACACTAACAAAAGTAAAAATATAATTAGTGATATTATTAAAATAATTATACCTTTTTTCTACACCAACCACAACTGACAGAATGAAATTAGTAATATTATCAAAATTATAATTATACTAACACTTTATACACAACTAACATTTATAAAAGTTAGATAATTAAAATAATGCTCTTTTCTACATAATCACACATAATACTTATTTAAAATAATCAAAGCAAATGTTTAACTTCTGACAACACTTAACACTCAGAAACTGTACTGTTATAAACTCCACTAAAGACAACACTTAACACTCAGAAACTGTACTGTTATAAACTCCACTAAAGACAAACACTTAACACACAGAAACTGTACTGTTATAAACTCCACTAAAGACAACACTTAACACACAGAAACTGTACTGTTATAAACTCCACTAAAGACAACACTTAACACTCAGAAACTGTACTGTTATAAACTCCACTAAAGACAACACTTAACACTCAAACTGTA